TCTTGTTGGTTTGTTTTTTCCCCGGTCCCAGAGCTACTCCTCTGTGAGTGGCCCAAAATATTACTCTGCTCTTGGCTGGAGAGAGGTCCTTGTATGGAATAGTGGGTCAGATGGCCCTTCCTCCAATGCAGTCACAAAGGCTCCTTGAGACTGTTCAGACCCATAATCTTGGCCTCTGCCTTTGTTTCCTCAGTAAAGCTCAGAATGCAGGGTGTGGCAGGCTGTATCACCTAGTTGGAGTTTTGTGTTTTGTTTTGTTTTGTTTTCCCTTTACCTACCCAATGGATTGGGAGCAGCTAGCTCCTCCCAAGAAGAATGGCTGTTTTGGAAACATATGAACAACCCAATGCAGCACTCCTGGCTATTGCTTTTCCAAGTCTTTCTGCCCTGCTTCCCACCCAAGCCTCTCCTCAGACACCTCAAGTTCACATCTCCTTTCCTGTGTCAATGCTTCAGGTGTGTAGTTGCAAATGAAAACTCCTGTGCTCTGGGTTTAGAGATTTTTTTAAAACCCACAAAACTGTGACTCTCTCTCCCACTGGCTCTGGTCTGCTGGGTATAGACTCGGTTGCTGTCAGCAGTCCTGCTACCTTTCGCAGCTGATTGGATGAAACATGCACTGTGGATCGCCCTGCTATGGATCAGGAAGTGCCACCATGGGTTGGGTAGTGCAGCTGGTTAGGTGTGTGGAGTCCAGTCTGTGCTCCTGGAACAATTCTTCCCATAGAATAGTGCTCTTTTCTCTCTCAGCATCCCTTGCCATCCCTGGGGGTTGGGCCTACTCTTCTTGTGACCTCGCCCTTCCTACCCATCTCCAGTTGTTTTCTGTTCTTCCCTGTTATAAGTCACCTCCTCAACTGGACCTCAGTTGTTAATTCCAGGTGAATGTTCTCCAACTTAGTTGTATTTCCAGCCTGGCCCTGGGATGAGGTGCCAGACTGGTCTGCCTATTCGGCTGCCATTTTCTCAACTGTCTAGCCTTTGTTTTAAAGTTTATTTGTCTAATATAAGTATGGCAACCCCAGCTTTTAAAAATTTTGTTTGCACAAAATATATTTTTCTATCCCTTTACGTTTATTTTTTCTATTCCTTTATTTTTTTGTGTTGAGGTGGGTCTCTTGTCAACAGCATATATATGGGTCATGTTTGCTTATTTATTCAGCTACCCAATGTCTTTTAATTGGAGCATATAATGCATTTACATTTAAATTAATTATTGATAGGTATGTATTTAATTGCCATTTTATTCTTTATAACTATTTTTATTTTTTTTTCTTCTTCATAAAGAAGACCCTTTAATACATCTTGTAATGATGGTTCGGTCATAATGAACTCTTTTAACTTTTAGTTTTAATTTGAGAAGCTCTTTATTCTCCTTCAATTTTACTTGCTGAGTAAAGTGGTTGTAGCTCCTTGCTCTTAATCACTTTCAATATTTCATGCCAAATTATGTTGAGGTGTTTCTTTGAGAAATCTGCTGATACTTATGGGAATTCCCTTGTAGGTAACTAATTGTCCTCCTCATTCTGCTTTAAGATTCTCTCTTTTTCTTTAATGGCTGCCATTTTATTCATGATGTGTCTAGTTGTGGGCTGCTTTGGGTTCATCTTGATTGGGACTCTGTGCACCTGGACAGGTGTGTCATTTTCCTTCACCAGATTAAGGAAGTTTTCAGCCATTACGTCTTCAAATACTTTCTTGATTCCTTGCTCTCTCTTTTGTTCAGGTACCACTATAATGATGTTGTTCTGAGTCCCCTTACACTTTCCTTATTTTTTATAATTTTTCTTTGCTTGGGTGTTTTCAAAAATAGCTAACACCTTTAAAACACTTACCATGTTCCAGGCTGTTCCAAATAGTTTCTATATAAACGTTTATTCAACCATCTCAATTCTATGTGTTTCTTTGACAGGGAAACTAATGCAAAAAGATATTCATTAACTTAATGAATAGCAGAGCTTAATTTGAACATAGAATTTTGGCCACTAGAGTCTTCTCTTTTAACTACAATCCTTAGGAGTTCAGAGCAAGTGGGGGAAAGGGGTGCTTGCCTACTGGGATGGTAGGATCTGTCTGGAAAAGTGGGATCTGAATAAGACCTAGGATGGTAAGTAGAATTTAGATAAGTGTGTAAAACGAAAGAAAGTATTCCAGTTATAGGAAAGCATGGGCAAAGGCAGAGTACGAAGGAGGCCAAGAAGTGTTGGACAGATTGGAGAATAAGCAGGTTGATCCATAGTGGGGAAATGAGGTCTACATTTTGGAAAAAACTTACAAGTTTCTTCCCAATGGGAGATGATATAACATTTTTTACATCTAGCCTCTTTCAGAGTTGGCTGCTCTTACCCAGGAGATAAAAGTCTAAAGCCACAAAAGAATAAGTGGTAGTGGTGAAGGCATCTTCTACTTGACAGAAGAACCGTACACCTTTAAATGGCATGACAACCATGTCAGTGGTACACTTTGTTACAGAGGTGTGGACCCCTCAGAGATGATTCCTTTTCCCCCATTCCCTGAACACACTGAAGCTCATTCAAGAATAGCATGTGGGAAGCTGTAGCATTTCCTCAACTTGAAAAATTCTATATATCATTGAATTATGTTCCAGGAAAAAGAAAAAAAGTCATTTATTTTGATTCCTAGAGTCTCAAGTACAATAAAAATAAAGTTCTTTTTTTTTTTTTTTTTTAATTAAATCCCCCCCATAACTCCCTTCCTCCCAGTTCCCATCCCACCCTCCGCCCTCACTCCCCACCCACTGTCCTCATCCATAGGTGCACGATTTTTGTCCAGTTTCTTCCCGCATCTCCCATTCCCCTTTCCCCGCCAAGAATAGTCAGTCCATTCCCTTTCTATGTCCCTGATTCATTATAATCACCAGTTCATTCTGTACATCAGATTATTTATTCACTTGGTTCTTAGATTCACTTGTTGATAGATGCATGTTTGTTGTTCACAATTTGTATCTTTACCTTTTTCTTCTTCCTCTTCTTAAAGGATACCTTTCAGCATTTCGTATAATACTGGTTTAGTGGTGATGAACTCCTTTAGCTTTTCCTTATCTGTGAAGCTCTTTATCTGACCTTCAATTCTGAATGATAGCTTTGCTGGATAAAGTATTCTTGGTTGTAGGTTCTTGGTATTCAGCACTTTGAATATTTCTTGCCATTCCCTTCTGGCCTGCAAAGTTTCTGTTGAGAAATCAGCTGACAGTCGTATGGGTATTCCCTTGTAGGTAATTGAGTCTCTTTCTCTTGCTGCTTTTAAGATTCTCTCTTTGTCTTTTGCTCTTGGCATTTTAATTATGATGTGTCTTGGTGTGGTCCTCTTTGGATTCCTTTTGTTTGGGGTTCTCTGCGCTTCTTGGACCTGTAAGTCCATTTCTTTCACCAGGTGGGGGAAGTTTTCTGCCATTATTTCTTCAAATAGGTTTTCAATATCTTGCTGTCTCTCATCTTCTGGCACCCCTATTATTCTGATGTTTGTACGCTTGAAGCTGTCCCAGAGGCTCCTTACACTATCTTCGTATTTTCGGATTCTTTTTTCATTTTGCTTTTCCGGTTGGGTGTTTTTTGCTTCTTCGCATTTCAAATCTTTGGCTTGATTCTTGCGCTCCTCTGGTCTGCTATTGGGTGTAATATTCTTTATTTCAGACCGTGTATGCTTAATTTCTAGTTGTTTCTTTATCATAGCATCGAGGGTCTCATTAGTTTTCGTGAGTCTCTCCTCAAGTTTATTGGCAGCTTCTAGCACATTTTTGCAAGCCCTCAAAATTGCGTTTTTTAGCTCTATATCCTCCATTTCTGTCATGTTTTTTTGTCTCCGCATTTTTTATGCTTTCTTGGTGCACCCCCTAGTGGTCTTTGTGCGCAGTCTTGTTCTAGTTGAGCCTTGATTGTTGTAGTTAATACTAGAGGGATTTGACCACCAGGCCGACTGGCTGTGTGAATCAGCTGTGTTTGCCGCGGAAAACTTCTGTCCTCTGGGGAGGTGCTAATCTCAAAATAAAGTTCTTAATAAAATATTTTATGTAAAAGAATCTCATTAAATACCTATTAAGAGTTTTGTTAAACTGGTAGGAAAACTGGGGCTCTTGTCCCCAGATCATAACCCAGGGCCTGGGCTACAAAGGTCCTGGGGCCCTAAACAGTCTGTACAACAAGGAAGGCCCCTTTGGGGGAGTGCCCTCAGGCTTTAACCTCCACTAAGGGATCTCAGGAATTGTTAGGTGATAGAGACAAATAAGGGGAAGTTCCTTTGTAGCATAGGGGCTCAGGATAAGGAATAAAGGAATATCAGAAGAGAAACTCAGTGCCCCAGGGTCCAGAGAAAAGAATTGCTTCCTAGTCTTCCACCCCTACTGCAACCACTCTGGTATGCCTAGAGACTTTTCATTCCTTCTTTTACATATGAAGAATGTGAGTGATAATGAAGAGAAGAAACAAGACTAGGGTCACAGGAGATTCTTTCTGTGACAGAGAGCATGACACCTCAAAGCTTTAAGTTAACCTATATGTGATTGCCATTTTTATAGGCCCAAAATAGTCAAAGAAAATATTAGAACCATAAAGAGTTTAAAGATCATCTAATTCAACTCTCTTTCCTCAAATTCATCCTACAGTTGAAGAAATTGAAACACACATCACGAATCTTCCAAGGTTACACATCTCTGTAAAACTTCTTGGGCCTTGAGTAAGTGTTAGCAGTAGGCACATGCCACATTGTAAATATTACTAATGGCTTTCCACAGTCAGATAAAAAATTGCCTGCTAGAAGAGGCCACAGTTTCTATTTCTTGAGTTTCTGCATTTGCTTAGCACAGGTCACCATAGTTCATGGAGATCTGTGCTTACCAAAGGGAAAAACTTCGTATTTTTAAAAGAAGCTTCAGTCTTTCCACATGTCTGCCAATATCTAGCATCCCTCTGTCTAAAATATGCCCTCCTATCTCTAAAATCATCAGATCTAGGCTAAGTGTGTTTCTTTTTCTCTCTGACCAGCCTGAATACTGTCATCAAGAACCAGGAGTCCCTTCAGAGTGAGACTGAGATGGAGCTTATGGAATACCATTCAGCCTTTGAGCTTGAAGAGGAAGACCAGATTAAAGAGACTTCCCTTCTGCCACTGGATTCTACCCTCGAATGCCACAGTCCACCACCCGACTATAACTCCGTGGTCCACTACAGCACTGTATCCATTTAACCTACTACCAGTGCCCTTTGCCACCCCTTTCAAACTACTCCTTTTTTGCCTCAGAAATCACTAATTCTTTTCACTTTATATCATGGTAACAGAATTACTAACTTGGGACTGGAGAATGAAAAAAGAGCACCTTGGCAGATAATCTTGATTCTTCACAATTTTGGGGGGCACAGCTGGCCCAAGCAAGGTCCCCAGGCCTGATAGAGAGACAACATGATGTTCAGTGCCATTTATCTTCCTATTAAACACCAATGACTGTAGTTGGGTGTGTAAAGCCCTACAATAGCACCTTTAGTAGTTCCATATGCATGCCCCCTTCAACTTAGCCCGTTATACTTTCATGAGGGCCACTAGACCAGTGATGGAGAACCTATGACACACGTGTCAGAGGTGACACACAAACTCATTTTTTTGGTTGATTTTTCTTTGTTAAATGGCATTTAAATATATAAAATAAATGTCAAAAATATAAATATTTGTTTTACTATGGTTGCAAATATCAAAAAATTTCTATATGTGACATGGCACCAGAGTTAAGTTAGGGTTTTTCAAAACGCTGACACACCGAGCTCAAAAGGTTCGCCATCACTGCACTAGACAGAACAATCAGAACAATCTCTGTTGAATCCTCAAAGACCTCCAGTGCCTCCAATCAGGAACTGTGGCCCCATTATATTCAGATCTTGGCAATTAGTTTCCAAACAGAACTTGGTGGACTTTTACCTGGATGTCTTTAAAACTCTAAAGCAGTCAAATTTACTAGGGTTTGCCAATAGAAGGGAGTTGGCAGCAATTTACATGCAATGCCACCCTGAGGAATCCTTTGGTTTCAAGCAATTTGTAGAAGCTCCAATGGGAGTTGGTCATGCCCACTATATTTAGGATACTCTCCCTATGAACTACCAGTTTTATCACCTTTGTGTTGTCCCCATGCCAGAAACATCCAATCACACTCATGTGAATTTCAAGAGTACCATGACTTTGATAGATAAGCTCCAAGATCCACACAAGGTGTGTCTGCGTGCACTCAGACAGAATCAATGAAGGAAGGGTTTTTGCATGCTGCCCTTCCAGATTGGCCTATATTTCTCTGCTTCTCAAAAGTCCATGTCTCTACCTCTCTTTCAAAGGAGGAAAGTAATCCCCTTCCTGAGGGTCAGGGGTAACTATGATAAATACTGGCCCTGTCTTTAATATTCTCTTTCTAAAGCAACTATTCAGTTGAATCACATCTGATGAAGCAGTGTGTCCCACCTCTACCTAAGCACGGGATCATGAAGCCACACCAGGCTAACAATGTGCTCATCCCTGTGTTATATAGTGAGACTATCTATTGACTTTAGAGATAGTGAGTTTCTTCTGATTCATTCTCAGAGCATCAGAGAAAAATGGGAGTAATCAGCATTCTACAAAAATGAGGACCTAAAAGATACTCTGGTTCCTTCCTACTCTCCATTTTGTGTATGAAAAAATTAAGAACCAACCACTAAGGGGCTCGAATGCATGTCTCCTGACTACTAACCCAATGCTTTTCCCACTACTTAGACCATGTAGCCACATGTGTACAAACACATAAACGTTTGCTAATGTAAATGATGATACCACTGAAAGAGATCTCAAGAGTAGTTTTTTTCTTTGCTTTCCTTTTTGGCTAGCATGCACACAGAAAAGACACCTTCCTCGTGGGATCATTGGCCTGGGCTTCTGCTCCAACTGCTCCCATATCTTCTATAGTGGCCCAAAGTATCCCAGAACTGCACAAACCTAAATTTCACTTGTGTCTCAAGAGCATTAGTGACATAAAAGGCAGCAAGAGTCAAGCTGCTCCATGTACTGTCCTTTTAAGAAGTTTGTAGTCCTGGCTAGTTAGCTCAGTTGGTTAGAGCATTGTCCCGATATGCCAAGATTGTGGATTCATACAAGAATCAACCAATGAATGCATAAATAAGTGGAACAACAAATCTCTCTCTCTCTCTCTCTCTCTTTCATCAAGCAATCAATATATTTTTTTTTAAGTTTGTAAAGAGTCCCAGACACACAGGGCCTTTAGCCTTAGAAAAAAGTCCAATTTGGTGATATTCAAAACAAAGAGGTAAATGCAAACCCTTTTACCTCCCCCATGCCTTGGCCTAATGACAATACTAGAAACATTTTCTGCTTGGCTCAGAAAAAGTTGTGCCACATGTGTGATGGAAGAGAGGATAGGGGGATTACCACTAGCCTCCAACTACTACTAGGGTGGTTCTCTTTCTCCAGCTTTTATCCAGGAAGTGCTTGTTTTTCAGCTGTGCTCCTAGGGAATGGTCTGAATCAGCTCTGCTACTGGCCTAGGCAGGCAGACCCTATGAGTTGAATGGAGTAAACTACCACTGGAAGGTTATGGTGAATGGCCAAGCCCAGCTCCTCCCTCTTTCCTATCTCTGCTGAGAAATGATGGCTGTAGAGATAGCAAGAAATTGATCATCATTTGGCCACCTACCCAATGGGAATTACCAGTTGTTCCTGATGGTCAACAGCTTTGGTTAATACAAACTTTATGTAGTGGGATCGACAGGGACAGAGTCAATGATGCTCTTATCATATTTTTCTGATTTAGCTTAACTAGGGAAAAGAGCCTCTCAAGTGTTCAAAAACAAAACAAAACACAAACCTCTTCAGTAATGCACATGGCTCTGCTACCCAGTGTTTTAGTGAAGATAAGTTCATTCCATAATTTATTCAGCAAGAGGGTTCAGCTCTGGCAGGACATGCTTATACTGTTTCTACTTTATAAAAAGCTTTTTCTCAAAGCAGACACTGACCAGAATTTTTAAGAGGACTTCATGTAGCTACAAAGACAATATAAACATCTTTAGACAGTTCTAAGGACCCCTCAGAAGAGGTCTCAGGCACTATAATTTGCTAAGAAATGACCACACTCCCCTCCATAAGATTTCTTGATGAGATGCTTAGACAAGCAAACAATAGTAACACTTCAAACTGTTAAACTGTTAAAAGTTATTTTGAAGCTCCAGATTTTAAATTGACATAATTCATACTTTATTTTGTTTGTTTAATCAAATTCCAGAATAGGTGTCCTTAAGTCAAAACCCTTGGCCAAATTACTTAAGACAATGGCTTCCACTTCTTCACTACTGCTCTCAATTGATGAAGACCTCTTGTTTCTGTTCCCATTCTCCATTTGGACCTCATATTGGTCCATAGCCAGGAAAGATAAGCAATAAGGGAGGCTCCTCACCTCTTTTTACCTCTTGAATGGGGAAAACACTCCATCAAGAATGTCACTTCTCGGCCTTGGCCAAGTAGATCAGTTGGTTACAGCATCATCCTGATATAACAAGGTTGTGGGTTCTATCCCTGGTCAGGGCACATACAATAATTAACCAATGAATACATAAATAAGTGGAACAACAAATCAATGTTTCTTTCTCTTTTTCTTCCTCCTTCTCTAAATCCAATAAATAAATAGGAAAAATATTTTTTCAAGTTTTATGTTTTATTAAATTTATCAGGATGACATTGGTTAATAGGACCATACATGTTTCAAGTTAATTTTTCTGTGATACAAGATCTGTATATTTCACTTTGTGCCCACTATGAAAGTCAAACCATCTTTTGTCATGTCACGTCTCACCTGAAGCGTGGGCAGATATCCCAGCCCTCACCCAACCATGGTAAACAGGTACAGTGAACATTCCATTATCTTATTGAAAGATTCATGGCCACAGCCCACAATGGATACATTACCCAAATTTTATTTTGGTTGGTAATTTACTAATCTATTGTTTTATACTTAACTACTACTTCTTCCTTTTATTGGAGTATATATTTATGTAGCCATATACACATATATACAGAAATAACGTTTCTAACTTGTTATCCCATACCAAAAGGTGCATATTATAATGGACCTTTTCTGCAGGCTGGACTGTCTGTCTCATACAGAATAAAAAATGGTATCCAACAATAGTTCCAAATTTCAGCTACCTCATTCCTCTCTTGGAATTACCAAACTTTATCTTCTTCTTACATTGAGCTCCTTCCAGTGTTCCAGGTTGGGCAAATATTACATCAAACTAGGTAATATTTTCCCAACCTGCTCTGCTGATAGCTAACTTCTACCCAAGAGGATGAAAAAGTGAGGGAAAGAATGGGTTGATATTGGCTCTGGGACCCATCCAATTACTTGTGGGGTTGTGGAGTGGAGCTTGAGTTGTTGCGGGAGTCCAACTAACCAGGTTTCTCAGGGATTCTTGCGTGGTCCCCAGGGGTGTTTTGTGGCTACTTATCTTTCTCTAATTTTGTTGGCTAAGTCTTTTAAGATCTTGCACTCAATGTGATGAGCCTTTCTTTGTCATATTTGCTGGACTTTTAAACTGACTGTTTCTGACCATGGGAATAACAAGGCCCTTAGGGCTTTGAGGCACTTTTGACTCTTCAAATAAAAATTCTGAGACTTCTAGTATCCTCCTTAGGATAATAAACACACAGGTAGTTGATAACTGCTTTCATTCTTTTATTTCCCTCTTTGGACTCCTGTGCATCTGTGAGTACTTAGCAGCTTCCTAGTAGCAGTCTTGTTAGGGAATAACTTCCAGGACTTGGCAAAGGTTATTTGCATGACTTGAAAGGGTATCTTGGCTCAGGTGCCCCCCTTTGTTCTGTAGTTCTACAAACACTTACCCCCTCCAAGAAGATCTCTGACACCAATATATATTCATACCAAAAGTAGCTGATAACAGAAATAGGACTGATTTTCATACAGAGTGCTAATCTCATCCTGGTATGTTCACCAGCAGTCAGATTGTGGGTGTTTTTGTTGTTGTTGTAGTTGTGTGTTTTTTTCCTGCAGTACCTCCATCCTCCATTAGACAATGAGATTCCTCTCAGAGATCAATTCTTACCTTCATCCTACCTCTCTAATCTTGTCTATTGGCAAGCAGATAGGGGGAGCAGTTCAAAAAAGTCACTGACCCCTCTCTCTCTCCCACCCAGTGATACACTTATAGCCAAGGTAGCAACAGTAGCAGCAACCACAGGAACATTGCTGCTGGCCCTGCCACCAAGTAGTCTGATGCAATACTTCAGTCTTTTCGAACTTCTCATCTGTATCAAATAAGTATTAACTGTATTATTCTTCCTCTCTGACTATTTGGTAAAAGGCCCATCAAATTCTGGAGTCATTGTACCCTGCCGGTATTTCTCCCCTTCCAACAGGAAACCATTCTGACATGAAACAGCTATTCTCCTTAGGTAAAACAAAAACAAAAACAAAACAACAGCAACAAAACACACACTTTCTCTAAAAACAGGGTAATTGACGAAGGTTAGGAAACTTTTTGGTAGTGGATCACTCTTTAACCCTGACCTTGTAATATCATATTTTCAGTTTACCCTACAAAGAGAAAA